TAATAACCTTCTCATGAAAATAAGAATATTATCTTGTTATCTTCTGCATGAAGGTGAACTTGGCCTCTCACAAATGCAAAATATTGGAAACAACTACATTTCCATAGCATATTGTAACTATTTGTGTTCTTATGTATCTTAGACTGTAGTCTATGTCTCCAAATTCAGTGATAATAAATAAAATTTAATTCCTAACATAGCATATATAAAATAAATAGTCATAGCACAAAGTCGAGTCAAGAAACCAAGTTCAAATTTCCTCTTTTGTGTTTCTCTGTCTATAAAAATACAACCTGTTTGCTAAATACCCAATATAATCTCTTCATTGTCCCAATTATTTTTCTGCAGATAAGCCTGAAAATTTCTAATAAACATGGGGAATTATGATTTCTAGAAAATGTATTTCAATGGAATTGTTTTTGTAAAAACATATAAAATCCTCCAGAATCAATTACAAATACAAATTGGGCTACATTACTTATATTGGGGGGGGGTATTTTTGATGACGTGCTCAGACAACCTTAACTCTCCCAGTATCTATTATGTTCCAATACTGTTGCACAATTTTCTAAAAAGTTTGTAATTAAAAAAAAAACAGAGCCAGATATTGGGGTAAATACTGCTAGATCAGAGAGAAAAGGAACAAGCCACAGGTCATCTCACCAACTCCAAGAATTCTCTGAGTGAATGTCTCTGAGTCCTCAGCTGAAAGGGGTCCAGCCAAAAAGGACCTCCAGTTGCAAAAGTGCTAGTTTCTGTCTCCTCACACCTTATATACATTTCTCTCCACAACCATCACTTCCTTCCTAGTGCTGGAATTAATGGCATGTGTGCTTCCCAAATACTGGGATTAAAGGTGGTGTGAGATCACAGGTGCTAGGATTAAATGCTTGTGACTCCCAAGCATTGGGATTAAAGGTGTGTGCCATCATTGTCTGGCTCTGTTTTTCTCCTAGACTAAATCAATCTCATGTAGTCAAGGGTGGCTTTGAACTCACCTAGATCCAGACAAATTTCTGCCTCCCCAGTGCTAGGATTAAAGGTGCATGCCACAACTGCCTGGCTTCTATGTTTAATCTACTGGCTTGCTCTGTTCTCTGAACTTCAGGCAAATTTTATTAAGGTACAACATGATATCATGAGATTTCCCCTTTTTTTTCTAAAATAATAAAAGGTTATAACTAATATAAGAAAAACTATATATAATATATACAGTCAAGAATTACATTAACAACGTCCAGTCCATTAACATTTGATAGATTCAGAGAAAATAGTCCATTATCTATCCTATTTTGGTGAGTCCAAAATGTTTTACCTAATTCACTTTATATCCTAACTTGTATTACCAACCCAAGACTATCTTTTGATGTCTTGCAAACTTATGCACTTTACATGCCTTTAGTGATCTTCTTTTCTGAATTTGTTAAGAAGGAAAACTATAACTATCTAGTTTTCAACTTCCTCAGAAACTAGAGAGGGAAATAATATTACATAAGTAAGCAGAAAGTTCAAACAGTGACTTCCAAAAAAATGTGAGAAACAGCTGGTTGCCTGTACAATCACCCAAAGTTCCTCTGTGACATTGGGGCATCCATATTCAGCCTACAAGCCTAGCATATCTGACAGAATCATTTATGAAGCAGGATTTTCTGAATGGCTGTCCAACTTTGTCTGGGCAAGGTTCAGCTTTATGTCCTGCTTGTCCATTTAGACAGTATACTGTCAGCAGTAGAGGCAAGGGCATTTTCTTGCCCAGGGACTAACTCTTACCACAAAGAAAGTAAACTCCATAAGGAGTTTCTTCAATGACCATCATCTTCTCTGAAGTATATTGGTGCTGCCAGGAGCAGACATGTCTCATTGTTACTAAAAAAAAAAAACTGCTATAAAAAAAATCTTAAATACCATATTCCTGAAGTGTTTGAAGATGACCTGTTTATCTAAAATATATCTGTTTGACCTTGAAAACATAACTAACCTGACTAGTTCCATTGTAATAGGTGACTAACAACTAAGCTGCATGTAGATGTAACCAACCGTCTTATTAAATAAGAAACACAGAAACAATGTAAAAGAGAGAGCCGAGAAGTCAGAGCTCAGAGCTAAAATCTCACCCTTCCTCCTGCTGTCGCAGCTTCGCGAAAAGAGACCCACTTCCTGTCGGTTCGTTTTTTTATAGTATGTTGTTCTGCCTTCTCATTGGTTGTAAACCCAAACACATGACTGCCTCATCACTGTCTGAATGTACAGCCCCCTAGGTCTTAAAGGCATATGTCTCCAATGCTGACTGTATCCCTGAACACACAGAGATCTTATGGGATTAAAGGCGTGTGCCACCACTGCCACACTCTTGCTATGGCTCTAATAGCTCTGACCCTGAACACACAGATATCTATGGGATTAAAGGCGTGTGCCACCACCGCCACACTCTTGCTATGGCTCTAATAGCTCTGACTCCCAGACAACTTTATTTATTAACATACAATCAAAATAATAATTCAGTACAATTAGATTACCACCACAGCTGCATTTCTTTATATCCTAAATAGTTGGTAATAACTTTCAAGGACTAGAAAATTGTATTGCATTGTTAAAAGAGCTGTATAGGTATAAGACCTTGAATAATAGTAGAAATATATGTACAGTATATTTCAACAAAAAATCTCAACTTTGTATCAATATAGAGTTTGTATATAATATACAAAAACCCAATATAATATATTTAAAACTAGTACTTACTTTTGAAAAGTAGATTTAATAATCTACCTTTTTATCTTATCATATCCATATTCCTCTTTTTTCTTTTCAGAATAGATTGAATAATCTACCTTTTATCTTATCATATCTATATCTTCTTTTTTCCTTTTTTTTTCAAACAAGAACCCTTAATCTAATCTCCTTTGTTTGGCTTTTTTCCTGACCATTACCAATAACAACTTGTAATCAACCACCAAAACAGTGACAAATATCCATAACTCATCAAACAACCAAAAACTACCCACCTCACCTCTTGGGAACGTGGGTATTGTGTTCTTAAAATTATTTCCTGCTGTCTAGGGGCAAAGGTATATTTAGGGGATCCTGAAAAGAAAAAAACTTTCGGTTAATTATCAAGTCCTGGAAGAGGTAGCTGTATTATTTATTGTCCAGTCTCCGCATAATCAGTCTAGGTAATGGAAAAGCGCAGAGCTTGTCTCAAGTCCTGGCTAGAATAGTCTGTGAGGCTGGATCATCTCAGCTAGCTATTTAAAAATTGTCCTGAGCAGTTTGCACTCCAAAGCCAATTTTGGGTGGTGTTTGTCAACTTAATGGTGTTATCATAGTCTGTGTGGAATTGTCATTGTGGGATCCCATCATTTCTTTGGAGACTTTAGACTGAATTAAGATTATCCCTTTTCTTGATAATTTTTTCAGGGTAGTTCTCCATTCTTCTTTGGATGCTTATTTGTCCAAAGGTCTTTAAATTCTTCAAGATAGTTGTTTTTATTTTCATGCAAAGGTAAAAACAAAACCCTGACCCAACCCTAAATTTGGGGGGATTCCAAATTTAATCCTTATCACTTTTGATTTATGTTTTCTCCCAACTTTTGATTTATGTTTTCTCCTGAAAATTTTGTTCTCTGTGCTATAGCTGTTCAGTCTTCCAGAGCCGTATGTTTTTTTTTACAATAGGCATTAGGTTCTTTAATTGCTCTGGGAAGGAGTTTCCTTCACAATGACAGGAAAGGACAGAGCTGAGTTTGACATGGGGGACTATAAGAGGCTCCACAGGGCGTTTCCAGATGGCAAAGGATTACCTTTATTTATTTACAATCATTAGATCAATGTCTGCCTTTGCCACATCTTCTGCATAATGTAGAAGGGAGCGGTGTTCTGTTTGGATTTTTCTTAGCAAAAACATCATGTCTAGGAATGTCCTGTTTACAATTCCTTTTTAGGTGACCTTGTTTACTGAAATTGAAATATTTGACATTTCAAATTTTCTTCAAATCGCTGGAAGTCACCTCTCCTATCCAAGCATCACTGTGGTCAAGAGATTCAATATCGATTGTATGTTGGATCCATTCCTCCAAGGCTTCTGCTCTTGCCTTTAAAGGCCTAATTATCCTTTCTCATCGTGCATTAGCATTTTCAAAAGCCAGAAATTCAATTATTATTTGTCTATCTTCTGAATTTAGTATCAAGCAATACCAACTTTTCCAATTTTACTACCTTCACCATCAACACAGCAGGCACACCTTTAGATTTAGCTTTTAACAGGAAGATTTTTAGGAAGATGTAGAAGAACTGTATCCCAGAGACCACACATTAGTGAGAACACTAGCTCCCTCCTGGGAAACTTTTCTGGGATCATAAAGATGAACAGAACAAATATGAAAATGTCAGAATATATGACAGGTGAGTCACAGGCTGGAAAATGTTCTCCTCACAAGGACAAGGAATTCCTGTTCAAACAGAAGTCTGGGTGACTGGATAGACAACAAAACAAACTCAACCAAATCAAAAGAAAATTGGATTCATATAACACAGTATCAAAATGTAGACGGAACTGACTGAATGAGCCAGGTGGTGGCAGTCCACAGCCTACTGTGGAAGGTCCTTCCAGATTCAATCAGATTTCTTCTCATGTTTTCTCAAGGTTATTTTTTTTATAGATCTGGTGACTTAAACAAGAGTCTAGTAGGCAGGCAGGCAGGCTACTGGTTGCAGGATCTTCCTGTGCCATGTGGGCATCCAACTCAGCATCCAGGTGTCCTTTAGTTTTCTACACGTATGCATCCAGTCGGTTGTCCAGTTGCTCCTTGGTCAATACACGGCGAGTGAGGGCACCTCTCCCTTGGCCAGGACCTTGGCCTCGGCCTCCAAAGCACCCTCTTCCCTGACCTATCATACTCCAGCCTCGGGGCAACATCTTGCCCCTAAGCAGGGTCCTGGTGGCACATTCCCCATGTAAGCCCTCCTTGGGGCAGTCTCTCTGGATTATGGGTAGGTCTCTTCCTCCAATTGCTCTCCTGGCCAAGGCACCTATGGGTCGGCCTAAACGTGCCTGGATGTTACTCTTACCCAGGCGCTGCTTTCAACTTTGCTTAAGTTTCAATGTTGCCTGGACAGAGGATCTTTTCTCCACCTTCTGGGCCAGTCTTCTGTTTCTGGCAGTGGACAGCGGCTGCTGCTGCTGCTGCTTTGCTGCATCGTATCCCGAATGAATATTCACTGGCATCGGCTGTTTGTTCTTCAGCATATTAATAAAGTCCTCATTTAGAGACACCTTGGTCGTGCATTTCAGCACAATTTTCGGCACTGACTGTGCAGCCACCTTCAAATCCTGAGAATCGAAGGAGACGGATGCCAGTGCTCCTCCAAGGGCGGAGGCCAGTCAAACCTGAGCTGACAAGGGAGGGATACACACACACACACACACACACACACACACACACTACTCGGGTTGTCTAGGTGGGCGGTTGGGTTAGATGCTTAAGCGGTATGATGTGAGGCTCACTCATTGTGGGTTGGGTATCTAGATGGCGAATCCTCCTGCTGCACTTTCCTGCCTTTTGTCTGTGCTACTGCAGCTGGCACCGCCAACTTCTGCTTGGTGCCCAAAACAAAACTCCAAGAGGTGGGGTGGAGAATCATGCAGCTCTGGCCTGAAGCGATGCCTGCAAAAACACAGGAGAGCGGCTTTTCCGTGAATTCATGCCCCCAAAATTAGACACCAGATATTGCAGGGATCTTGATTGGTCTTTGGTTGTTGTTGTTCAAAGTGGTTATTTCATCAGAAATTTTGGAAAGAAGCATTGCTCTATGTACAGAGTTACAGACGAAAATAAACTTACATAGGAAGTTTTCATTAAAATGTTGCTTCCTATGTATTTATCCCAGAAGATAAGATTTAATAACCAAATGCTAATTCTTTAAATGAGAAATAGTTTTAAACTTTAATTTTATTTGTGTGTATGTGTGTATGTGCTATGTTTACACATGTGTGTGTTGTAGTGGGGGTCTGTACATACACACAGAGCCCAGAAGGGGTTATCAGGGGTCCTTCATCACTCTCCACCTTATTTCCCTAAGATAGTTTTTTCTCTGAACTTGGAGCTAGGTTGGCAGTGATCCTCCTGTCTCAGCCCTGCACAATGCTGGGATTGTGTGTGTGTGTGTGTGTACAGAATCACTAATCTTCTTGCATAAGTGCTTAGGATTCAAATTTAAGTCCTCATGCATGAACAGCTAGCACATTTCCCAAACTTAGCCCCTCCCTAGCCCCAAGGAGAAATATTCTAAGTCTCATCAGACTGTATCATTTAGGTGTGAACATGCAGTAAGTGGCCTTTTGATTGACTGGGACTGTGACAGTTGAAGCTTCTTTTTAGGGAGGAACCCATTCTCTACATTGTGCAATTTCTTCCATCTCATAGAATTACATGGATTTTTTTTTTACTGCCTTATCCAAAATGCTTTACTATATCATTCATTCATTCATTCAGTTTAGACAGGTTTTCACACTGTGGCTAAGACTGGTCTAGACCTCAGAATGTAGCCCAGGCTGTAAACCCTGAGCTGTAGCTGGAGAGCTATTCTCTCCGGGTTCCACCAAGTTTCACCAGTCCCGGAGCCCACTTATAAAATAAACACACAGACTCTTAATTATTTAAACTGCTTGGCCATTAGCTCAGGCCTATCATTGTCTAGCTCTTACTCTTATATTTAGCCCATTTCTATTAATCTTTACTTTGCCACGTGGCTCGTGGCTGACCGGTTCTTTACATCTTCCTTGTCCTGGCGGCAGCTCCAGGCGGTCTCTCCTCTGCCTTCCTGTGCCTTCAATTCTCCTCTCTGTTAGTCCTGCCTATACTTCCTGTCTGGCTACCCGCCAATCAGTGTTCATTTATACAGAGTGATATCCACAGCACTGAGCCAGATTTTGGGTTAAATACTGAATGATCAGAGAAACAAAGGAATAAGCCAAAGCCACTTCTTACCCCTGCAACTCCACGAATCTTTGGACTGAATGCCTCTAAGTCCTCAGCTGAAAAGGGCCTCCAGCCTTAAAAGTGCTAGTTCCTGTCTTTTCATACCTTGTATACCTTTCTCTCCCCAGGCATCACTCCCTTCCTAGTGCTGGAATTAATGGCATGTGTGCTTCCCAAATACTGGGATTAAAGGTGTGAGATCTCAAGTGCTAGGATTAAAGGTGTGTGCTACCAATCCTTGGATCTGTTTCTCTCCTGGACTGAATCAATCTCATGAAGTCCAGGGTGGTTTTGAACTCATAGAGACCCAGGTGGATCTCTGCCTCCCCAGCGCTAGGATTAAAGATGTGTGCCACAACTGCCTGATCTCTATGTTTAATCTACTGGCTTGTTATGTTCTCTGATCTTTAGGCAAATTTTATTAGGGTACAACAAAATATCACCACACAATGCCTCTTTAGCTAGGGGTGAAAATTCTTGACCATCTGCCTTCTCCATGCTGTGATTTGGTCGGGCTTGAGTTTGCACAGGTCTTGTGCATGCTATTGTGGGTTCATATTGCCTTACTGTGTCTGGAAAATACTATTTCCCTGTGGTTATTCACCACCTCTAGCCCTTACTGTCTTTCAGGCTCTTCTGTATTGATTTCTGAGCATCGGCAGAGAGAGGCATGATATAAATATACCATTTAGGGCTGAGCACTCCAAATCACTTAAACTTTGTAGTTTGATGAGTGGTGGGTCTATGTGATAATTACCATTTATTGCAAGTAGAAACTTCTCTGATGAAGGGTAGAGAACTACACAAATCTAGGGTTGTAATAATAAATCATTAGGGTTGACTCAATTCTGGGCCACTTAGTAGAGTAATAGTAACAGGAATGGAGAGATGGTTCTGCCATTAAAGACTTAGGCACACAACAAAAAGGACAATTTACTTTCTTATTAATATAAACCTATTCAGCATATAAACAAATCATCCAAAATCCAGGATATCTAATCAGCAAATAAATAAATAAATAAATAAATAAATAAACAAACTGATATGGTATTTCCACAAAAGAGACAAATGAACATGGGTCACTAATGTTCATAGAAACATTCTTCACAATATAAACCAAAACCAGAACACCCCACCTCATACAATTGATAAACAAATGTTACCATGTTTATAAATCATCGGTAGGAAAAGCAGAAAGTGACTGGTGTTGGAGGAGGATGCACCATGATTTCCAGAGCAAACACTGAAGGTGAACAGTCATCCCTAAGCAATTTTCAGTATCCACATGTGCTGAAGAATGGAAGTCTAGAAGAGGTAAGACATCACGATTTGAAATCATCAAAGCTTATATGGACCTGAGAAAAAGGAGAATTTTCAGAATGATGGGCAATTTCTTGGATTCCAGTGAAGAAAGAATACTTGTGAAACCTCATCCAGTTGTGTTTTTCAAAAAGGTAAAACTAATGTTGTGCTTTGTGTTAGTGGTTGCAAACATTTGCTAGTAACTTTTTTCTGTTCTTTTCTATATGAGATGATTTCAACTTCTGATTGTTTTTATTAAAGATCAAACATTATGCTGTATTATACGCTGGAGTTGTCTTCTAAGTCTTTGTTATTTTTCAGGGTGCTTCAAGGTTTTCATCAATATTCTGTCATTAACTTTTACTTGTTATAGTGCTCATGACAGTGCCTTACTTTCCAATGTTAATTTTTTGCTTCTTCGGTTTATTTTATTGTTCTATTCTACTTTAATCTATTCTAATTTACTTCTATTATATGCCATTTTACTACAGTTTTGGAGGCAGGGTTTTGCTAGAGAGTTCTGTATTGCCTAAGTGTTTTGAGTTCATAGGTATCCTCATGCGTCCCACAACCTTACTTTGTCATGAGTCCAATCCTTCTTTCTCTGATTGTGAAGTGTTCCCCACATGTTTTGATTTCCAGTTGTAGATTTCTCCATCAAATAAAAGAAACTACTTTCGTTTTATATAGATTTCATGGTTTTAAAAATTATCAATGAATATAAATTTTTGTAAATCTTTTGCTTTATCCAGTTACTTTTATTATTTTGGTTCAATCACTTTTAAAAGATTTATTTATCTCGCTTTATGTGCATGGATGCTTGGCCTGCATACATATATGTGCACTAAGTGCATGTCTAGTGCCCACAAAGGTCAGAAGGGAGTGACATATCACCGGGAACTGGAATCACAGGTGGTAGTGAGTCACCATGTGAGTGCTGGGAGTCATACCTTAGTCCTTTGCAAGATCATCAAGTGTTCTTAACTGTTAGAGCATCTCTTTGAACCCATACTCTTCCATTTGAAGACTCCATTAAAGACCTGTGGTCTTTAACTTATTAGTATTATTTGTTTACTCTGCGTTTCTCAATTATAAGTATTAAACGCTCTATTTTCTTTCTACATAGCTTTAAGTGTATGTACCAAACTATTTAATTTAAATTTTAAAAAGTATTTAAAATCTAAACAGACTTTTTCCCATTTTCTCTACATGGGTGCCAAGAAATGTAATATGTAACTTTTGACCAATAACAATTTTTCGGATTCTTGTATGTGGACATTTTTATTATTATCCCAAAGTCTATACAATTTTAATACATTTGCTATTTTTACACTGCTTTTTTTAGGGGAGCCAGATGTTATTCACATATCTTAATTCTTTCATTCTATGTTCAGTTCAGTGGGAAAATTCTTAATCTGCATTTTATTCCATTGAAAACTGTAGAGTTGTAACAAAATATGCATGAGGTGTGCTACTCCTCTCTGAACTCTTCTTATCTCCCTCTGTTCTTTCCCCGGCTCTTCCCCGACCTTTATACCTCTAAAGAACTGTATCACTGCCTAGTTGTCTTCCTGGAAACATGTTTCACTAATCGGCAAAAACTGGTAGATATTTCAGTAATGCGTGATTGTCCTTCAAAAGGTGTTATTCTTATTAGAACCCCAGGGACACTGAAAGTTCTATTACAAAGACAGGACTCTGTCGTCTTGAGATGATTGAATTCTAATTTCTCTTGCTTTTATTGTGGAGATATTTTTACAGTCCTAGGCTAAACTTTGGTTCATTCACTCTTACTGTTCCAGACATTTGTGCATTGTAAACAAATGTTTTTGTCTCATAATTCTAAGACAGTACAGAAACTGCTTCGCCCACAATCTCCTTGCTTTGCTTTATACAGACCTTGTTTTTGCTAAATCTTTAAAGTTCCTTCAAGCTCTTGCAGCACACTATAAATTCTTAAGATTAACTGGAGTTTTCAATATTTTGATGAATGTTCATTATTTCCAGAAGTTAGGATTTAATTTTACCCAAAAATACAAATATTAAAATGTAAGTTATGAAACAAATCAGATTTTTTTAATTTTTGTCATAAATT